TTGCATCTGACAATCCAACCCTGCTTGAACAGCACCTGGAAATTGTTGTTATTGTGTGCCACCAAGTCACTTTTGACTCATAGTGACCCTATGTACAACAGCTCTAAACCCTGCTTTATCCTGAGCAGGTGTATCTTTGACACACCTTCCCCCTATATCCCCAGTCCCTGAGTCAATCCATCTCATCCAGGATCTTCCTCTCTTGTGTTGTCCCTCCATTCTCCCAAGCATGATGTCCTTCTCCAAGAACTGGTCCCTCCTTGCAACATGCCCAAAATATGTCAGACAGAGCTTTAGAATCCTTGCCTTCAATGAGTAGCCTGGTTTCACCCTCTCTCAGGATAAACCTGTTTGTTCTCCTAGCAGTCCATGGTATATTCAGTACTCTTTTCCAGCACCACAGCTCAAAGACGCCAATTCTCCTTCTATCATCCCTAGTCATTGTCCAGCTTTCTGAATCATAGCAAGTAATTGCAAGACCATGGCCTGGATCAGGCGTGCCTTTTCTCCAGACTGACTTCATTGCTCTTCAGTACTCTGGAGAGGTCCCTGACAGCAGATTTTCCCAGTGCAATTAGTCTTTTGATTTCCTGACCGCTGGTACTGAGAGTGTTGATTGTAGAGCCAAGCAAACTAATGCTGTTAACAATCTCAATCTTTTCACCATCTATCATGATGCTGCCAGTCAATCCAATGATGAGTATCTTTGTTTTCTTGACTTTGAACTTCAATTCATATTTAAGGCTGCAATCTTTGGCCAGTTTAGCAAATGAAAATACAGAAAACCTAGTTAAATTCAAGTGTCACTAACAACAAAAGTTTTTAGTGTACTTATTCACTCACTCATCACCACTGAGTAAATCCTAGCTGACACTTCAATGAGTTTTCAGGAGGCTGTGAATCGCATGGTAGGGGGTTGCTCATTTTTCTCCTGCAAAGCCGCTGGTGGATTTGCACAACCAGAGAGGCAGGCATTACCTTTGGGTTGGCATTGGGTCTCCCTAATATACCACACCATCAGAGCTCCCCCAATTTGTATTAAAAGTATGTACCAAGTACATACCAAAATGTACCAAATGCTTCTTTCCTTAAATAAATTATTACTTGATTTTCCTGGCTAAATAATTTACATTTTTGTTGTTGTGTACTGTAGAGTCATAGCCAATCCACAGCTTGACCTCCAGTATGTTTTCAGAAGCAGTTAATCACACAGGAGATTGCCAGTGCTTCCGCAAAGCAGCTGGTGGCCTTGAACCAGGTGCCTTTGGGATTGCAGTGCAGCTTCTTGCCACTAGACCACCAGTGCTCCCTAAATAATTCACAGGGCGTTGTTATGCAACAAAAAATTATGTTTTTTTAAAAAATCCAGCATTCCTACCTGGAGACCTTGAAACTAGAGGCATTAACTTCCAGATCTGAAGATCACCATCTTGGACAATTAAGAATGAAGCCACGTAGGGCAGAACTCATTCCTGAATTTTAGCCAATTATCTTGACCTGAAAATTGTGAGGAAGAGCCCTCAGCTGGACTGTTGTTGTTGTTGTTGTTGTTGTTGATCACCATTGAGTCAAGCACGACTGATAGCCACACTATGAACAAAAGGCCTGAAGCCTTTCTATAACTATCATAATTTATTAAAGTTCATGGAATTTCCAGAGGCATGTTATTTAGGAAGTGGATGTCACTCCTGCTTTCTACAAGTCTGAATTCAAGGCACAAGCTCTAGGGGAAGGTTACTCTGTGCTGCTCCAGGGGAAGGTCCCTGTCCGGATTCATGCACTTGGGCATCTAGCCTGGCATCCTTCATCCCCCCTTTTGCTTCCTTATTTGCTATCTGATCTCTTTTCCATCTCAAAAGAAACAGCAAACGAGCAAAAGCCAATGGTAATGAATGAAGAAATTCAAGCAGCACTGAAGACACAGACAAAAATAAGGCCTCAGGATTCAATGGGATACTAACCAACATATTTCAACTAACAGAAGCAACCCTGGACGTGCTCGCCAGGCAATGTCAGGAGATCTGGAGGACAGCTGCATGTCTGACTCACTAGAAAATGTCCATATTTGTTCCCATTCCCAAGAAAGGTGATAAAACAGAAGGTGGAATTTATCAAACAGTATCATTAATATCACATGCAAGCAATATACTAGCAAAGAGCATTCAAAAATGGTTAGAACAGTGCATAGAGAACTGCTGAAGTTCAAGCTGGATTTAGAAGAGGCCATTTGCTGATGACTAATGGATCCTGGCTAAAAGCAAAGAATACTGGAAGAATGTCTACTTGTGCTTTATTGACTATGCAAAGGCATTTGGCTACGTTGATCATAACAAACTATGGCTAACATTGAGAAAAACAGGAATTCCAGAACACTTTAATGTGCTCATACAAAAACCTTTCTATAGACAAAGACATTTACCCATTACTCCAGTTGTTGTGTCAATACATCTCATCTGGGGCTTTCCTCTCCTGTACTATCCCTCCACCTTTCCAATGACTGGTCCTTCCTGGCCACGTATCCAATGTATGTGAGATAAAATTTCAAAATCCTCACCTCCAAGAGCCAGCCTGGTTTCACTCTCTCCAGGACAGATTTGTTTGTTCTCTTGGCAATCCTTGGTTCAATACTCTTCTTCAGCACCAAAGGCATCTATTTCTCTTCTGTCATCCTTATTCATTGTCCAGCTTTCTAATGTATAACAAGTAATTGCAAAAACCATGGCTTGGATCAGGCACATCTTAGTCTCCAGACTGATATTTTTGCTCTTTAGTTCTCTGGAGAGGTCCGTGACAGCAGACTTTCCCAGTGCAATTTGTCTTTTGATTTCCTGGCTACTGGTACCAAGAGTGTTGATTGTGGAGCCAAGCAAGGTAAAGCTGTTAACAATCTCAATATCTTCTCCATTTCTCATGAGGCTGCCAATTGGAGAATCTATATGGATATTAAAAGCATGTTTAGACATAGGCTGCTATGGTAAAATGTTACAATAAAGTTATTTAAATGGAAAATAAAGTGTTCTGAACAGTTTTAACAATGTAACTTTTAATTTTTAAGATATGTATCTATACATTTGTAGATTGAAAACATTCAAGAATTTATCCAAGAATATTGTCAACACCAAAATATTAACTGCTATTTTCTTTGCTTCTTGACCCAAAACTCTCTCTAATCAACATGTACTACTACAGAAACACCAAAATAAATGGAAAAAAAATTGAAATTGTCAACAATTTCATCTAAGTTGGACCCATAATCAACATCCTTAATACAACAGTTAAAAAATCAAAAGATGTACCACACTGGGGAAATCTGCTGTCAGAGACCTCTCCAAAATGCTGAAGGAAAAATGACATCAGCTTAAAGATTAAGATGAGTCTGTTCTTCTCAATTACTTGCTCTGCGTTTGAAAGTTGAGCAATGAATAAGGATTCCAGCCAGGAAAATCGATACCTTTGAGCTATGGTGTTGGTTGTTGTTGTTGTTGTTTAATGCCGTCGAGTCGTAGACGACTCATAGCGACCCTATGAACGAACAGCCTGAGCACTGTTCGTACATAGACTTTCCAGAGGCAAGCCATTTTGGAAGTGGATGCTGCTCCTGCTTCCAGGCTTGATTTAGTCGGGAAGCTCCAGCCAACACTGTCCACCATGGGTGCCCATTACCACGATTGGCACATCACTGTCACAGGCTTCAGCATCACAGCAACCACGAGTTACCTCTGTACAGCAATGCACAGACCAGTGCTATACCACCCAGAAGAATGTTTGACAGGAAGACAATTTGAACCTGGCCCGAGAGAACTAAATAGTTCAAGGAGAGTCCAAAGAAAAAAACAGTCTGGTGAAAGTGAAACCAGGGTGTTCCTTGGAAACAAGGATGGCAAAGTTGTCTCACATACTTTAGGCATGTTGTTAGAAGAATCCAGCCCTTGCAGAACATCATGTTTGGAATAGTAAAGGGCCGACATAGGAGAGATAGACCCTCAACAAGATGGATTGACGCAGTGACTGTAACAATGGGCTCAAGTATATCAGAGATGATGAGGATGGCACAAGATAGGACAAGGTTAAGATCCATTGTTCCTAGAGTGGCTATGAGTTACAGTTGACTCGACAGCACATAACAACAGCAACAGGATTATAAAATCAATGCTAATTTAAATGCCCTCATTTCTTATGTCTTGAGAGTTATTTCCATGTTGTCACTGCTCTCTATTGTTGAAATAGAGCTCATGAGCAAGTAAAAACTGGCTTTCCAAGAAAGATAAAATGGTGCTGAATCCCTCTGACCAATAAATGAAAGTGGATTCCAAGTGGAAATAGTGGATATTTACCAAGATACAAGAATTCTAAAGATCAGATCAGAGTTAGAGAAAGAGACCGATCTCTCCTGGAGTTGAGGGCAGTAGAAATGAAAACCAGGGCAAAAATGAAAGGCAATTCAGCTGGTGAAAAAGAAAGAAAGAATACCAACACTTCAATAATACCAGGAGGAAAGTTACAGGTCAGGAGCAGCACAACACAGCAGCACTGAGACTCAATACCTGTCAAAGCCAGACCAACTCAACTAATCCCTGTCCCATCCTTCCCTGCCTCCTGATAGCGAGACTAGACCTTGCCCCTGGAGTAAAAGAGAGCTTATTGCACCTAAGACAGCTGACAGAGAAAGATTTGTATGTTCAGGCTCTGGAAAAAAGAGATAGAGCACTGTCTCCAGCAATCATAGCCCAAGAAGGTATCTGAGCCTTGGCGGGGGGGGAATAGGAATTACTCAGTCATCACATCTGCCTTCTTTCCTCATATCACCCTGAGAGGTCTATACTCAGCTCTGTCCTATGAATAAGTGAGATCAGCTCATAAGAACAGGCTCTAAATGAAGAGCTTTCAGAGTTTCAGGCCCTTAAGCCATGGAGGGAACCCCACACTCAGACAAAGCAGAGCAGGCTAGACTTTTGGGGACTATAAGTTCATATCCTTGAGTGTGCTCTTATCTCCAGAACTCAGGCAGATGATGAATTCCAAAGATGCTTCTTCATCAGTCTTCTCATGGCCCCTGTAACCTCCTTGTTCCTCAGAGTATAGACAAAAGGGTTGAACACAGGGGTGACCACTGTGTAGAAAAAGGCAAGGATCTGGTCCGTGTCCTGAAAGGAACCTGCCCAAGGCCTCATATAGGCAAGTGTCCCTGTCCCAAAGAACAGCATGACCACAAACAGATGGGAGGAACAAGTAGAGAAGATCTTTTGACGTTCCTGAGATGTTGCGACCCCAAGGATGGTGGTAAGGATACAAGCATAAGAGACAATAATCAGTGAGAAAGGAGACACAATAAAGGCTACAGTGACAACAAGATTCCCCACTTCACCCCAGAAGGTGCTGGCGCTTGCCAGTCTCAGCACTGGCAGAATGTCACACAGGAAGTGGTGGATGGTGCTAGCGCCGTGGAAGGGCAGGGTGAAGATACAGATGGAATGAATGGTGCCAGTGATGATGCCCATGAGGTATGAGGCACCCACCATCCTTACACAGACTTCTCTTCTCATCAGGGTAGTGTAATACAGCGGCCGACAGATGGCAGCATAGCGGTCATAGGCCATGGCGGTGAGCAGGCAACACTCAGCGATGCCAAAAAGCGCGAAGAAATAGAGCTGAGTGAAGCAGCTGGCAAGTGGAATGGTCGGGCAGGAGGACAGGAGATCAACCAGCATCCGAGGCACGATGGTTGTGGTGTAGAGGATTTCCACCACCGAGAAGTGGCGAAGGAAGAAGTACATGGGCGAGTGCAGGGAGGGATCTGCCAGTGTGAGGAGGATGATCAGGGCGTTCCCCAGCAAGGTCACCAGGTAGATGCAGAGCACCCCACAAAACAGGGGCACCTGGAGGGAGCCAAAACCTGAGAATCCCAGCAAAATAAACTCAGTCACTGCTGTGTCATTACCACCCTCCATGTCAGACTGGAGGTAGTGGAAGTGGGGGCTCACACCTCTAGGAGGTAGGCAGGTAAAGGCAAAAATTCCAGCTACAGCAGGAATGACAAGAAATCCATGAGAACACCCCAATTCTCATGACAGGGATAGATGTCCACCAGGGTTGCTAACAACTCCCTCCCAGAAAAACCCTTGAAAAAGGAAGATGATAAAATGCAGGAAGTGCGAGGAAGGAGAGGAAGGAAGCAGATCCTCCTCACAACTGGGAGCCTGATGGACACCAGGGAGATTTGTTACGCTCACACCAAGTTATGAATCTGCGAACACAGAGCTGGGGCTCATGGGAAATCTCCTTTCCAGAAAGTGGGTGAGAATACAGGCATAAAGTTGATAAAAAGAAAAATGGAACTACCATGAGGCAGAAAGAGCAGGAGTGAGGACAAAAACAAGTGAGGGGGGGAAAGAGAAGGTACAGAATCAATTATGACAAAGAAAGGGCAGCTGGGGCTTTTACCTACAAATCCATTCCCCATGGCCTTCACAGTGCTTCCCAGCAGCATATCACAACAATTCAATCCCCAAAAGGGACATTCCCAGAGCAGTGGGAGAGGGTGGGGAGGACACAGGCAGGGGAGGAAGATGTTTGCCTTGGGACCAAGAGAAAGGGGAACTGCTTCTTTCTAACTCATCCTGTACCTAACCCTCTCTGAAGTCCCTGCAGCTAATTTGGGAGCTGGAAACACCCTCACAAATACAACAGAAAGACCACAATTCAAAAGGATTAAAGTGCACCCAGGATCCCTTAGCAAGCCCAAAATGGAGGTAGGCACAGAAATCATTCTTGTTCTAATTCCCTGGCCAGTTTCTATCTGCTTCACTGCTGAGCCCACTACCCCAAGAGCCACCTTTTATCTAAGTAGCTTTCTCAAAACTAGTCACTAGTTTCTTCTTTTCAATGCTTAGAAAGCAAGGAGTCTTTTTAAAATAATAACATTTTTTATTGTATTTTCAGTGCAAGGTTACATAGTAAGTAAGGGCCTCATTCAACAATTTCTATACAAATGGCTCAGTGACGTTGGTTGCCTCCTTCGCAGTGTGAACAGTTTTATCATTTCCATTCTGGTTATTCCACTTCTAGTCATCTCATTTCCCTGCCTGCTTACTTTCACATCTTTGCTTTAAAGTAATTAATGACTATTTAGTCTTATAAAGATTTTAATTTTTTTAAATAAAATTTTTACTTTATACTTGTTTGTTTACAAAGTGCATATACATTGTTTTCACACTGGATCTTTCCCATTTCTTTTACCCACCCCTCCCTTTACCCATCAAATTGTGGGACCCTGTGAACTCCACTGCCTATCCTCACCCATCTGCTCTTACCCTCCCTCCCCCCATGGATCTTCATACACATTTTACTAGTTCTCTAGTTCTACAATAATGGCCTTATACAGTACTTGTCCTTATGGAACTGAGTTAGTTCACTTAGCATAATGTTCTCCAGTCCCTCCCAAGTTTTGTAGTGATTTTACTTATAGATGATAATTACTCATGTTGTTGTTGTTATGTGCCGTCGAGTCGTTT